AAAAAAAAATTCAAGGACGGCAGAGGTGTCATCGGGCCTCTCTTGTTACGGAGAGAGATATCTCTGCCACGGGCTTCAAGCCCAAGAACCCCACACAGCAACTAACATCTGGCGGACCGACCTTCTGCGGCTGCCACTGAATCAGCGTCCCGGCGTAACTAGCATCTGGTCCGATTAGCTCTAGAGCAACTCTAGTGGACCCCGCATCTCGCCGGCCCGTAAAACTCGTTTGCAGTTCACGCAAAACTACTTTTGCGGGCTGGCGCAGGTTGGCACAGATGCAGACCCCTCAAACGGACCCGTAAAAAAATCGCGGAATATGCTTTTTTACGGGTCGCCTTCTGCGGGTTCTGCTCGGGTACCACCGTGAAGACCCGCAAACAGAAAAAATGCAAATCTCGCATTTGACATAGGGTTTGGCAAACAAGTTCAAATTCAAATGACATAAACAGTTTGCGCGCAAATAAAAGCGAAGTTCATTACGCAAAAGAGGGCATGCAAAAGGTTTGCGCCCATGTCCGGCATCATCTTGGGGGCCGATCTTCACTCCGCGCAATGGAGTCCATATTGAAGTTCATCGGCACCACCAAATCCACCTTCCTCGCTTGTTCCAACTCCCGCAACGAAATCATCCGCATTGCCACCATATGGAGCAGAAAACATCACCGGAACATGAACACGGACCGGCTGAAGGTACCATTCTTCTGTTCAAGATCTCTCTCCTTGCCATATCATGCCATGTTTTGGTGAGGTCGTCCATATCATTGCGGTTCATTGACATGATCTTGTTCTCTTCGGCGAGCAACAATGACATCGATTTGTTTTCGGAGGTGCGTGCTTTTCTCTCCTCAATGGCAGCTTTGCGGAGCCCCTCTTCCTTGAGCATTTGCCATTTTTCTTCCTTATCTTTTGCCTTCTTCTCGGCCAACTCTTTTTTGATCTCCAACGACTTCAACGACATCAACTCGTTTGATTGCTCCATGTCATCAATCTTCTCCCTCAAGCTCGATGCTTCTTGCTCTCTCTTGATCTTCTCTCTCATCTTCTTGTCGCCATCGGGCTTGTGCAAATTTCTTGGGCCATCATCATCTTCGTCTTCATCCATCTTTACAAGTGAGCCTCTCTTTGGTGGGGATTCTCTGTCGATCAACTTCCACTTATCGCACTTTTGGAGCAACTCCCAACAATGCTCTAATTTGGAGAATCTGCCTTCCGAAGCTTCCATGGCCTTGCATCTATGTTGAGCAATCTTGTCCTACAAAATGTGAACAAAGTGATGCAATCATTTTCCATGATACATTATGATGATGCACAACTTGAACAAAGGAAAAAAAACTCACATAATCGGACTCCACGGTGCCACTTGGAGGTGCATTGCGTACTTGCTCCAAGCAAGCTGCCCAACGGCTGCACATAGGCTTGATATTCTCCCAACACCCTTGAAGCGACCGAAATGTGCATGGAGTCCTATTGGGATACTTTTTCATAATGCGGAAGTATTGATCTTCGATCCTTTGCCAATATCTCTTGGCGGTTTGAGAAACACCCGTGCATGGATCAACAGACACTGCACTCCATGCATGGATCAAAGCTTGATCTTCCAAGATCGTGTAGTTCTTCGATCTTTGGCTCTTCCCACTCTTTGATTGCGATTCCTCAAATGCTTCCGCTTCGATCTCCTCCAATTCGTCCGCATAGCCATGATCATCCACGCCGCTGTCCGTTTCATTGTAGTCAATGGTTCGAAAGGGGCTTGATCAATGTCAACCGCGTTCATGTCGAACAAGTTCACGAACTCAGTTGTTGCATTGTTCGAACCACCGCTATAGCGAACGATAACATGTCACGAGCTATCGACACTAATGGCGAAAATGAAAGGGAATCGCTATATCAAAGAGGCATACCTTGCAGCCATTTTGTCGAACACCTCGCTTGCGGGGGAGCGGCACCGTTGAACGGCACCGTCAGAGCACCTCCTTGCGGGGGAATGGAGTGAGAGGTTGAAGAAGGTGGCTTCCTTTTAGCCGGAACCTTCCTCCGCTTTACACCCGCGGTCTTGCCGGCATTCTCCGTCGTCGGCCGGGATCGCACTGCAGCGTTGGCGCCCGGAGCGCGGGCCGTCGCGGCGGGGGCAGCCGAATTCCCGCCCTGCACGACCACGTTGCCCTACTACTTGCGGGCCGGCACGGCGTGTGCTTGGGCGAAGGCGGCGGAGGCAACATGGCCAGCGACAAGATCCGCCCGAGGGGAAGGAGCATGCGCGATCTCGACGGTGACGGGGGACAGCACGGGAGCATCCATGGCGGCGAGGAACGGCCGGGGAGGAGGAACCGAAGCTTGCGGAGGGGGGGGGGGCAATGGTGGCGGAGGGTGCGGGGAGTGGGAAAGGGCGCGCGGAAATGTCCCTCCCGCCAAATCTCGCGCCGGATAGGGGTTCAGCTCGGATCGGCCTCCCAGCCCGTGAAGATAGAGGTTGGGGGAGAAGATTTGCCGCGCCCCGCAAAATTTTTTGCGGGCCGGGGCGGGATGCGGGGTCTGCTAGAGTTGCAAAATTAAAATAAGCACAAGTTAATTATCTATTATGTCCGGTCGATAAACTCAAATGCTAACCGGCGTGGCGAACCAACCCATGGTTAGATGGTCAGGTGGACACTCCTATCTCGAGCCCATCAATGTTCAAGTCCTAGACTTAGAGCATCTCCAGCCGCGGCCTCAACATGCCCCCAGGCGATTTTTTCGCGCCGGCACCGAAAAAAC